CAATTACAGAAAATGTAAGTGCAATGAAAGAAGTTAACTTTCAAATTGTATTTTAAATACATGTATATTGTCAATGCAGCTCAACTTGTAAATGAGCATTATGTCACTTGAACGGATGTCCGAAATTGATAGAGCAGATTTTATTTGTTGATTTTATGGTAATATCATTAGCCTAATAATTCGTATTAAATGCTTAATGCGTATTTGTTCCTGGCTAACGGTTCTCCTCAATTATCATTTTTTCCAAAAGTCACGTTTCATGAAAACGAATATTTTATTGATGATGAAGTCGCTAAAGTCAGAAAAAAGAACGCCCGCATTCCTCGAAATGAGGCATATCATGAATGAAATATTGCACACAATTGTTTGAGAATTTCATTAAAGCGCTATGTGTTTGACCGTTTAAATCAATCTTTTTATCAAGCGACCACTTTTACCTGTCAAATGTTTTTATAAAACGCCATATTAAGCGATCACAAGGGCACAAGCTGAAATTTCAACAACCGGTAGCAAGTCGAATCGAATTACTTATTAAACGTGTAATTACAACTGCTCTTCTATGTATGTTTTAGCCTAGGCAATAGTTGCTATAGTTTTGAATAAAAAATGCATCAAGAATAACTTCAAACGACTAATTTATATTTATTTCTAATGACTATTTTGATATCGGAAGGAAATCGTTACGTCGTAATTTAAACATTTGGTATACAGAAGTACGAATAGACGGGTGCTTTACGTAGTCTTATTTTTTTTATTTAACTTAAACATGAAATTCAATATGAGATAGCTTCAGCAAACTTGAAACGGACAATATGTTGCCCAGATTTTTGTATGATTTTATTTTTTATTTATGATTTTTCATTATCCCTCATGTACAGACTCAATCTGAGACTGCACAGAATTTTGTACTCCACAACGGCAGGTGTCAAGTGCCGTGTGGCAGCCGTAAAAAGATGCCCCGTACTACACTTCAGTGTTGTTATATTTTCTGGTCCTTCGGGATCATTGATGCCAGCACTATAAAGTGTTGAGAATTGAGTACCGCTCAAGCCGGTGCTAGGGGGTGTGAGGGATGTTGCACTTATTCATTATCCCTCATGTACAGACTCAATCAAACCGAGTCTGCAATTCTTGTGTTGTTTTGTTGTGATTAATGCTTCCAAGGGATCACTTTGTTTCCAGAATTTTTCACCGAAGTTCAACTGTACATACATTTATTTAGTAAATTAAATTGTTTGCAGCTACCATGAAATAACTGTGACCTAACAGTTGTTTTTCTTTCACTAGACACAGATAAACACCCCTATTATTACCCGTTAACATGTGGCACGAAGGACAGACTGGTGTAGGAAGAACTTACCACTACCGTCCTTGAACAGGGTCAATCGAATCGAACCTGCAACGTTTTTAGTTTTGCCTTGTTGGACTTTCCTTTGAGGATTCTGTTTTTCTCTGTTTTACTATATAAAAGTCAGTGTTTTCGTCGGACATAACATGTATTAATCATTTAGTTACATTTTTAGTTTGGAGCCTGTGGTAAAATCTGTTGATGACATTTTATTTCAAAAACGGCTAAACTATAATGTGTGGGAGAGTAGCTTTTAATGTCAATTATTTTGTCATACCAGGAGCTAACCTTTGTTCCTAATATCATAGTATAAACTGCACAGCAAAAATAATACATTATTTTTGAATATAGTGACCGGCAAGACTTTGGGAATGAGGTGTGTGTATCTATTTTTTCAATGTCATAATTGTCCTTGCGATCAGAAAGAAACTTTTTGTACATAAAACTTAATATACTGGTCATTCAACTTACTTATTAATTGAAATATCTCAAATTACAATGAAGTTTGTATTTGGTTGAATGTAGCGAAATATAATTCATTTATTGTTGTTTAATATAACCAAGAGCAATCAATATCATTATATCAATTATATGCCTTTTTGTAACTGCAACATATGTATGACTTTTTTATAATTTATATTTGATTAATGTTTGTTTGTTTGGATTAACGGCGCACCAACACAGTTTAGGATAATATGGAACCGTAACAGGAAATATGATTGTGAATATCCTCGAGTGTAATAAACTTCAGTAAAACAACCATTCACTTACTAAAGCTGATAGAAGCATTAACTCAAATTATAGCATAAAATCGGCAATTTTTCCCTCTTTTGCCCATGTTATAACGGGACCAAAACCATGTGTTAACATAGTCACGCGCTCTTGTTATAGCCCGGTTTCACCTATGCGCAATACATACAGGGCCCAGTAAACAAACAAACAAAAAATGACGATTTGGCTTGTTTGCCAAAGAGTCATGCGCTCTTGTTATATTGAAATTCATTGATTCGAGGGCCTCGGTCGCATATTCAAGTAACTATGCCGGAAAAACGGCGTGTAGACGTCAGTGCTAAATCTTGGTTGTCGCCCTTTCTAAGAAACGGATAGTTGTCAATGTAAACAAATACAGTACAGTAGAATCTACCTGTCATTCAGTTTAACACTCCGATTAACTTACAAAACTAGAAAACACAAAATTAATATGAGAAATTGTTTTTTATTTATGTTCATGTTGATAAATGCTCATTATATTTCTTTGAGAGAATAATGCTTAGTGCCTGATTTTTTTTATAAACTTGTTTGCTTGAAAAAAAAACCGATTCTGATGTCACTGATCTTTTTTCTACCATCAATCTGAAATCATTCTAAGAATTTCTGAGGGTCATGTTTTGTCTTGGGTAGAGGGTAGAGTAATGTAACGTTTTATTTTTTCTTGAGATAATAAATCTCCAAAGGCCAAGCTTTGTTAAATCAATTAAAATTCAAAATTTCGTTCGGTTCCGAGAATTTTCCAAGTTGTTGGCCCCGGAAAAATGAAACGGATACGTAAAACATAGAATTGGATAAATACCGTCCAAGCACAAGAATTTAATGTTATTGTGTTTTGTTTAAACTATACATCACCAATTTGTTTGGAAATTGTATGCTATAATAGCGTCAACGCACGTTTATTTCGTGATATAAAGTCTGCAGAGTCCCTCGGAACTGTTGGAGCCCTCGCCCTACCGGGCTCGGGCACCAACCGTTCCTCGGGACTCTGCAGACGTTATAACACGGAAAAACGTGCGTTAACCCTATATTATACCCTAATTATACGAACTAATTTAGTCGCCTCTTACGATCATACAAGCATAACGATAAATGTAATAGTTATGCCCAGGAACGCCTCCGTCACAAGGGGTAAGTTTGACAGTTCAGTATATTTGTACGTATATATATTTACGTATGTGTGTCTGTATAATTATGTTAAATTTTCTGTTAAATAAATGTATGCATATTAAAGGTTACTGTGTAAAATATATAAATCATTTGTATGTGATTACTGTTGATAAATAACTTGCCTAAATGATATAATAAGTAAAAAAAATGTTTACTTGCAATAGTACATTGATAAAAGCCGTAGAATTATGTTACTCTTTAAAAGTCGATTAGTCTAGTATTCTTTTCATGAAAAGAATAGATCTGTTAAATATGTTAAATAAATTAATCTATATGTACTTTAAGTTAGTATTATTATGTTTATCAGATGTCGTAGATTTACATTATACTTTCCCGCGCTACTTTGTACGTAAATGGCGCTTTGTGATACGTTGACGTCTGTGACGTCATATTTTTTGATTACTGTTGTTGTTATTGTTTTTGACGTACATACTTGTAGTAAACTGAGAAAAGAAGACACAACGCTGTTGTACTTAATCAACTAATATACGATATCAATATAAAAATGTCTCCCACAAAGGAGTTCTGCTTTACTACAATCAATAAACTAATATGAGATAAGTTTTAAATTTGCGTTTTCGTAAACTTACGATTCAAATGTTAAGTTCATTTTCATTGTACTAGTCTTGTTCAGGACATTGGCGTCATCGATTGTATGAAACATTAGGAAGTAAAATGTGTTTTCCCAATCAGTATTTCTAGAGAATCCTGTCTGACTGTAAATTTACATAATTTAATTAAATGTTTTAGACTTGTTCAGTGCAAATGGGCAAACAAATCTAGTGATTTTGTAAAGATCGAAATAATTCCGTAATTAATCAGAAATGCTATCACGTGTTTTCTGGCAGTTTTTCTTACTACATCGTTTCAGAATTTTAAGTCACATTAAAGTGTTTCTGCCGTTCTGGTTAGTCGAGTAGGTGTAAGTTATATCGCATATTCAGTATTTGTCACTTCGCTATCAAATACAGAAAAACGAAATTCCAAGAAAACGTTTAAGACAACAGAATAGAACATTTTGCAGGTTCGGATTAATTGTGCCTGTTCATGGAAGGTTGTGGTAAGTGCAGACTACCGTCCACGCCCCTGTCACCGACTATAGCAGTGTTCAACATTTAATAAGACAGAAAGGAAATTATGAATTTAAAAGCAACCTTTAATTATAGCAAAACATGTTTGTAGTCTTAACTTGACTCCTTGCTGGTGGTCCTGTGTTGCTTTATCGTGTGGGGTTGCGTTTGTTGAACACCGCCCTTCCTTGTTGATAAAATAATTATCATATTTTACTTCTCTTCTCGTGAATGGCAATGGTTATTATTATTCATCGTCACCAGATATCAAACTGCAAACATGTGTATGGTTTCTAGGCTTGACAAAGGTTAAATGTTTTTCTTTGTTGTTGTATATTTGTTTCATTTTACGCCTTTTCCCCAACAGTAATCAATATAGACAAAAGGTTAAATAAAGGACACTAATCGCTTTTTTTGTATACAATATTAACAGGCTCAATTTCTGTGTAAATTATCAAAATTATTTAATGAAATGAAGAAATCATGTTTTGGAAATGTCAAATGAGCAATATTTGTAAGTAAACATATCAAATAAGTTGAACATAGATAATAACATGAATTATGATTGAAGCTATTATTGATAAATTCCTAAAATTATATTTAAGCATCCAATTGTAATGGATATTGTTAAGTTATTATGTTGTCATATTAAAGTTGCGCATACTGCTACATGTATATATACCCTCAAAATGATGCTCTCATGTATAAGGTTAAAGAAACAGCGTTAAACATATTTAAGTCAGACTTATTTGCGGTAGTGACATTTTCAAAATGGAAGTGCAAGGTACATGAATTTTATTTCTCTATCTTTGTCACAATTTGATTTAACGAAACTAAATGCTTCTAATTTTTTTACAAGGTTTTCTAAATTTAGCGTTTACAGATTAAGTAATTACAAGTAAAACATAATTTTGAGAACGTAAAAATTGCCACGTATTACATTTAAATGAACTGAAAAAGGGTAGATGACATTCTTCTGATAACTTATTTTATTAACCCTCATATTTTTGTAAATTAATGTTAATTTCTTTTCACCGATATAAAAACTGGTCATGTTGTTTATTTATTAAAGTAAATAAAATAAAATAACCGTCGTTGTTTTTCCCGATTCAGCCTCTTTTTTGTCGAAGTTTACCACGTAGAGGCATCACCAGAGTGACTTTAACACCCATATAATTTAGGGTTTTTTTTGCACCCTGGAGTGCTTTTCGAGTAATGTTAGTAAAAAAAGTAAACATACGTTTTCATCGGAAGTTTTTGCAACAGGAATAAGTATGCGTCAAAATGAAAGAAGCAGACGATTAAAGCATGCAACGTGCTAATAAGTACCTTCTCATAAATGGCAAAGAAGTTTTATAGGATTATGTAAAAGTTGTTATACCTGCAAAAACACATCGTACTATATGAGAATCCCTTTTGTTAAATATTATATTATTTTATTTAGGAATATTATTAAGTCGCATCAATTCAAAAGTTATTTCAATGCATTATGCCTGCACATAAGACTCTCTGGACATGATATGGCAGGACAGAAAATGCTTTTTGAAACTTTTCAACCTGTATGATGCAGGTCAATACATATAGCTTTGTGTACAAAATTTTATACAATTCCATTTTCCAGCCCCCCCCCCCCCAAAAAAAAAGGTATTGTTTTAAAATTCTTATATTTTAGATTTTTAATAAAATGCCAATATGTTTTACAGTCATAGCTCCAGTTAATTTGTGTAACAATTTTGTTTGTTTGTTTTGTTTTAGACGTTTTCGGAACTAAGTGGAGCCTTAATAAACAACTATAATACAATTTTAAATTGGTCTAAGGCTTAAACGTACACCGTATCATGTAAAATAATTCTATGTTGATGTTAAGCATCGCCATGCTACAATTTCAATAACTTAGTTTCTATATTTATAATAATAATAATATTTACACTTTGTTTCAGCCGCAGTATTGTTTCTTGTGCTGTTGAATTTCCAGTCTATATATTGCGAATTTCCTATTGAGTATGTTGACTGTGAAAGGTTTCCTGACTTTGTTTTCCGTGATCTGGTTTGCAGAAATAACGTCTTGTTTCAGATACCTGACCGAGACAATTTCCAAAGTGTTGTACAAGAGACATGCAGGTGATCTATCAAAACACTTACTTTTTTGAATAGTTATACCGCTCAAACCGATGCTAGAGGGCGTGGGGGATGTTGTACGTTTTCATTATCCCTCATGTACAGACTCGGTTCAACCGAATCTGCAATTTTCAAGTAAATGTGTTGTGATTAATGCTTTCGGGGGATTACCTTTTCTTACAGATTTGTAATGCCACTTCTTGTGGCTTTTTCTCATAAATGTTTATGTAAATACTAGTATCGCTACCAATAGTGTAGCAAATAATAGTATTCGTAATGTTCATATGCATACAATGCTACCAACATTGTAAGGCAATAAATTACTCTCTAATGATATCGTTTTCCTTCTAAAAACCCCAAAAATTCCATGTGCGCAACAATAACGATCGGTGCAATTTAAGTTAGTATGAACAAAAGCACCGTCTAAAAAAGTAAGCTATTTTCGATTCTGAACAACAGTTGAATAACTTTAATATTCTACGTTTTATGAAATTTGTACTAACTAACTTGTAATTTACTTATAGATAGGTCTATAAAAGAAATGTCGTATTTGATATTCCAGGAACGAGGCGCTAAAAGTATCTTACATGAATTGCATGAACGCATTGTCTGGCAAATGTCCAGAGCAATATGTCGAGGTGGCTGCTTCTATAAGAAAGAAAATGGACATGTTTTGTGACGGCAATGACGTCACACAGCGTTTCCAATCAGGTATGAAAAATGATTTATACGTTGATAATTTCTTGGATTGTATACGGTAAAATCATAATTATAAATAACAATTTTCAAAGTCTCATCCTGACCAATAATCTTTTAGCGCATACATTTTAACAACAAACCAAATTCAATAAGAATAATGTGAATTGAGTAGCATATTTAAATACTTAACTAATTTTCCAAGAAAAGCCTTATTTATATACGAATTCGTGCCCCTTTTCTTATGTTCGTGCGTATTTTATGCAGCAAACAGTTTAACTTAATCAGGTATGAAAAATGATTTATACGTTGGAAATTTCTTGGATTGTATACGTTAAAATCATAATTATAAATAACAATTTTCAAAGTCTCATCCTGACCAATAATTTTTTAGCGCATACATTTTAACAAGAAACCAAATTCAATAAGAATAATGAGATTTGAGGGGCATACTTAAATACTTAACTAATTTTCCAAGAAAAGCCTTATTTATATTCGAATTCGTGTCTCTTTTCTTATGTTCATGCGTATAATATACGAATTCGTGCCTCTTTTCTTATGTTCATGCGTATATTATGCTGCAAACAGTTTAACTTAACCGAATTTCCTATTGGACATCATACGAGATAAGAAATTATGGTACGATAATATAAATATGTATATCAATATGTTTTTTAATTAATGGTACTCTTGGTTTTGTACACGCAAACCTATGGATTTACCAAAATTTAAATTTAACACATACTTGTACCTGGTAAGAATAAGCAATGCAAAACGCCCTTAAGCCATTAGAATAAATTTAAGCCCACGTCTTTGAATGTTATAATTAGCCTCTTGGAAAATATGCAATATTTTTATTGATTGTTAAAACGCATTTTTTTTTCAAATCTACAGTATATGCTGATCAAATTGAAAGCAATACAAAACAAACGTTCACATTCACCCAGCTGATCAAAAATAGCGGCAATTATGTAATATACATTTTAGTTAATTGACGCATAACATGCGTGCCTTGCACGTGCTAATTATCAGATAAAAGTGGCAATGTCATATCTACAAATTATAGCAAAGTAAATGCCTTGCAGTTATTGCCATTTACGAAACATAATTTTACAAAATTAAATCAGACGTCTTTTTTTCATCCGGCAAGTTTTGATGTACATGTATGTGCTGTCATGTAAATTTTATCTGCTTTGTTTGATAACATTAAATGAAACGTAATTTGATGTGTAAATGTATATTTGGTTATTTTATATTTTTCTTCGTAAAGAAATACTGTGAAATGATACATGTAATAACTAAATGGCAAATTCAGAAATTTGTCGAAGTGTGTAAATATTATAAATTCTGATCTTATTCTAAAATGTTGACATAAATACAAGAGAACTATATCATTTAATGTATAACATCTACTTTGTGAATATTGGTAAACTTTGTTTTTTTTGTACATATTTGTCTAGTGGCTCAAGACATGAATTCCTTCAATTACACTTGCTCTGAGGCTTTCGTGCAAACAATATACACCAACTGTAATACTGAGTTCCTCACTCAGAATGGATTAAATCCTTCATTCCTCGATTCTTTTGAAACGGCGTCTGAAGTCTCTCCACGGTATGTAAACTTTATTTCATCATGATAAAAATTTTAGGTTATTTCAAGTTATAGAATGTAAGATTTGTAGGTATAAAGCTAATGTCAAATTTCAAAAATGGCATAATAGTTTTGTGAATGACTCACATATATGAGTATTTGGATTAGACAAGTATGTGCTGAGGTCCACTGGCGTAAAAAAACTGAAAGCAATTAGTTTGAAAAAGTTAACATACAGTTCTTCATAAAAAATAAGAAAATTATAATAAACATATATCCTGCATTAAATTGCATATTGATATCAAGGGCAATACTAAGCCACATGTCAATAATGTTTGAATATCTTTTTAATTCATTTTGTTCAATAAAAAAAAATTTTTTGAAAACTTGAGTAAGCGAATGATCTGAAAGTTTCCGCACCAGCTACTTGTATAGACTTACATCAAACTATATAAACTTTCCGAGAAATTATTTTCTGTCGAGACATGTCTTTAGGAACACAGTTGAGTGTCTTTAATGTGAAAATTCATCCAACATAACAAAGTGTGTTTCATAATGTAACTTCCAAAGGATATAACATGTAAGTGCCAGAAAATCACAGAAGGCATACCAAACCCAAGCTTAACATACGCACAAAATCAAAGAAAGTTTGCAATGAGTCACTTTTTTGGGGTTTACAAACATAATTTTGATCAGCGTTTTTGGTTAAACATTGTGAGATGCTTATAAAACAACTATTTCTAACTATCTATGACGAGCGCATTAGTTGTATGAAAGTGTATGAATTTTATAATAAAAATAAAACTAAACAAACATTCAAAAGAAAAAAATATAAACAACAACAAAAAAACTAAAACATAAATAGACAGAAATCAGAAAAAGAAATCTACCTTAAGCTGCCTATGGAGTGCAAGGTAATTTTTATGTTCTTATGAACAAGTTACATCAAAGATGAATTAAGAGTTATTAGCGTGGCCTGTGTTTTACTTGAATTGATTATTTGATCTTAAAGATTTTGAATGAGTTCCAACGAAACATTAGACATTTTTATAGCAAAGTTTATCCTGGCTTATGTGTAATCAAACGAGGAAATTAAATGTCTTGTAATGTTAACGTTTAAGAAATACGTATTGGTTATTTTCACAATGGTTAATTTTTAATGAAGCGTTGTATTGCAGGATAATTTGCTATTTGCTACTGAATTAAAGGCAAAATACGTTGAATAGGTATAATTGTTAAATGCACGTCCATTTTCATGATTTTGTGAACTAATGTAAAGGTATTGAATGTGTGATGTGTTGCAACTACGCAATAAATTATTTCTTGTGGTCACCTGATATCAAACTTATGAATGAGTATATCATTTACTTTGTAATGTTACATGCTCTGAAAGTCAGTTTATCTTTACAGAGATGTAATATAATGTGATCCTATAACAATTTATCAGCATCTTACCTGAATACATTATATTGTGGAAGGTGTTAAGTTTTTCTTGAAGTATGCTATTGTTATCAATACCGTATATTATCTTAGGCTGATGAGCGCTGTATTTCATTGTACAAAGACGAAATTGGCACATAACTCAGCTCGGAGTGAAAAATGTGGCAGCTCTTGGCAACAGACCTTACTTAACTTTTGGTTACAAGAGCTATTTAGGGGGAGCATATTTATTAACTTATCCAGTGCAGATGAACAAGAGCTTCTGGTAAGTTGAAGTTTAATGAAATGAAAATACACATTATAACCGAACAGTTCAAAATTAAATTTGGTACCATTCTCTTAAAGTGATTAAAACATTTATCTTAAGCCTGAGGTGTTAGTCAAAGCTATATTTAGTAAAAACTCAACAATTAGTATACATATGTATTTGAGCATAAAGAAATTGGCAATTAATTTAATTAATTTGTGTATGGCGCACTTACACAATTTAGATCATATGGCGCTGAAACAGGAAAGACGATCACGCAGGAATTTTTGACACTTCAATCTTTAAAGGCAACCCTCAGCTACAAGGAGATTGAAAAATTGAAGAATTATTATAATTCAAATTTAATGAATGCGTGCATTATGCATTTGAGATATACATGATTGTATGTTGCATAATTATAATATCATAACTAAGTTTAAAGATAGTAAGACATATTGACTTTTTGAACAATAATGTACACTTCATCAAGTTAGAAATTTATAATTTCGTCTATAGTTCAACCAAAAATGTGTCTTGCTCAACCCTTTTCCAGAATCTGTTTGCTCGATGTTAACTTAATTCACATTTAATTAAAATGTAAATAATAAATGTTTATTTCCACATTTTTTTCAGGCTTTAGCGAGTGACTAATGCAAAGCAAATTGCTCTTCTTTGATCGACTGAGCAGCATACTTGAGTTTTCTATTGTCGCATCGCATCTATGTTAGTTCCAATGTGTTATGTTAGCTCTATGTCATAATAATAAACTAATATAAAATCTAACTGTAACGTATGGTTTTGTTATAATTTTCCGTTCAATGACATAATATATGACGGTATTGGGCCTTCGTGGTTGCAATGCCGGAGTTACATTTAGTTTACACAACTAAAACCGATTTTATTGTTTAAGTAAATACCTCTATCTGTTGTATTGTGTTGTATTAATTACAATTATTGTTACAGTTTCTGAAATCAACTAAAATTTGAGGTCTTCTTTAATACAAGTTAGCCCACTAACACCACCTTATATGCTCGTATTTGTTGGTACTATGATTCTCTTTATCATGCCCGTGCAGTTGCCTTATTTTGTTCACTAAATGATCATAAATAGTCTTTCAATTTAATGTTCAGTAAAAAAGTCCTTCTTATTAGCATTTGCACTTTCACACTCACCACTAACTTACAGGAAAACAATCAATGTTATTTCCTCTGATAAGGCTTAATCAAATATTTATTCTTTCGTTTAGCATGTTATAAAGCAATATTTTGTCACAGTAAAATAAATTAAAAAACAAAACAACACAAAAAACAAAAGAAAAAAAACACAAAACAAAAAACAAAAACAAAAAAACACAAGAAAACAAAGAAGAATTTCCCATTTTTTAAGCTAGATTATTGAGACTAGAAAAAAAACTGCTTAAGAAAATTTAAAAGCAGGCATGCATTCATTGTGACCTGCATTATTTGCTATTAAATTCCTAAACCAATTAGACATGCAAAACCTGACAGAATCTCCAATTTAAGGTTATTATCAAAGTGCCTGATTACACCAGGCGGCGTTCTAAAAATTGATTAGGAATTTTCCTGTTCTCATAATCGACAAATTACACTATTTGATAGGGAACGATTTATGTCTTCTTTAGAAGCATGCTCCTTACTTTTGTAAAACACTTCCGACCTCTTTCTTCTGAGCAATACTTTTAATAGGAATGTCTGAAGCATTTATCAAAATAGAATAACTAGGTGTCTAAATGGCGGCTGTGAAAAGCGAAACAATTGAGTTTAACTTTATGGCAGTAGCACTGTTTACTGGTTTAAAAGTAATTGTTATTCCTTGAACGTAAATGTAATCGATATATTGTGAAGTTACTGTACGACAATTTATTAATTAATTAATTATAGAATCTTGAAATATCGAAAAGACAATTTTATAAATTGATTATTTTTCAGATAAGAATCTCAGAGTAAAATATCAACTGGATTCTATAGGTAATCTATCTCGCATATCCAAACTAAGTTATATTATACATATTTGTTAGGTTGGTTTCACGGCGCACCAATACAGTATAGGTCATGTGGTGCCGAAACACAATTTTTACAGATGATTTTGGCTAAACGTACCTGCTGGACTTAGAGAGATGCATAGAATCCACGATTACGAACTCATTTAGTCGCCCCAGTCGATCACGCAGGAATAAACGGTGGCTATGATTGTTATGCCTCAACCATTGACGGCAACACGTCAACCTCAAGGGGGCAATATTGAAGAAATTTATAATACCTACCTATTTCCTAACTAAAAGGGTGTAGAAAATATGAAATAAAATTTACCACCTTTTTGTCATTGTTTATATTCACTGCACATTTAAATAATATTTGCTTTTATACGTGTTTTAAGTTTCCCACTTACGTTCTACATTTTTAAAGCTATTAAGATTATCAAGATCGGACCATACTCACGACCCAATGAAAAAAGAGGATACTTATTCTAAATCATACTTACTATCTAACTGAAGACCCATTTTTCTGACAGTTTCTGACACAGTGACTTTAACTTAATACCGTTAAACCTTAAATCGTAAATGTTATCATTTATATAATTATAAATAACTTAGGAAATCAGATTTATGTAGAAACAAAACTCTTTCACCTTTTTATGACCTGCATTTATTGCAATTGAATTTCTATGCCAATTTTAAAAAATTTGGGTCCTAGCATTTTTTAACATTTTTTAATTGTTATTTGCTTCTCAGTGGATTTTTGACCTATTTAACACTGCACAAAAATTAAAAGGTATTTTATAACTTTGCTTGCTGGTACGCAGCAACTTCCCGCGAAAGATTTTAAAAAGCAAACAATCAATATATTTCTGGTCCGTCGGTATCATTGATACCAGCACTATTAAGTGTTGAGAATTGAGTACCGCACCAAGTCGGTGCTACGGGGGCGTAAGGGATGTTACACTTATTCATTACCCCTTATGTACAGACTCAATCAAACCGAGTCTGCCATTTTCATGTAATTTTGTTGCGATAAATGCTGTCGAGGGATCACTTTGTTTCCAGATTTTAATACTTCACAACAGCAAGTGTCAAGTGCCGTGTCGCAGCTGTAAAGAGTTGCACCTTACTTCACTTCAGTGTTGTTATCTTTTCTGGTCCTTCGGGATTATTGATACCAGCACTATTAAGTGTTGAGAATCGAAACCGCTTAAGCCGGTGCTAAGGGGCGTGAGGGATGTTGCACTTATTCATTATCCCTCATGTACAGACTCAATCAAACCAAGTCTGCAATTTTCATGTAATTTTGTTGTAATTAATGCTTCCGAGATATCAGTTTCTTTCCATATTTTTGCTTCATAGCAACTACTTTAAATGTATTGAATACATAAATCATGTAGATCATACTGATCTTGGAATCATTTCAAAAGGGTTAATCATTAATCATTTTAATAATAATAAAAAGACCGAATGTTAATTTTGTTTCATTTCTTGCAACACTGTACAAGGGTGTTTCTTTTACAGACTTAGAGTAAAATGATATTATGCAGCAATGTTACAGAGGGATATAACAATCTTCATTGTATGTACTTTTATGTGCGTTTTTAAATTGTTTCAATTGTTTCCTATACCTTTTCTAGACTCGAATAATGTCCATTATCACATGCAACAGACTTATCGTCGTCTTTGAATATTGAATGATTATTTATAACACTCATTTTCACATTATTTATAATATGACAATCATTTTTTTCTCATATCTTAGACTAGACGTATTGAAGATGTTTTGTCTGTCTATATTAAATAGATTGTCAATCATTATGTTGTTTCAAGTGCATCAAATCACAATCAAAACACCATATTATTATTTTGTGATTTTTTAGGACTTGTTTATAATGAAAAGTAGCATAAACTAGTATTGATTTGAAAGTTAAATTTAAGGTTGGCAAACCATTCGACAAAACGTTTATATAAACTGTCTTTACAATAATCTGTGTTAAAGGCCATGTATAACCGTTATGCATTTGTATATATGCAGTTGTAAATACACGTATGTTTTAGTATAACACCGAATTACTGTATATGACCGTATATAACAGTGTTTGACGTTATAAAAACCGTACGTATCCATAATGCATTAATTAGATATTAAGCTGTAACAAACTGGTAAGTTTAAACAAATTTTATTGCATTTAATACATGTTTACAAACATATCATACAGATAATGAGTATATATCAAAATGTAACTGGGTTAGGCATCAAGTTCTTTCAACAATAAATTAAGGCCTTTCAAGTAAGAATCAACAATGTGAAAAACTATGGCTCTACAAAGTCATATGAAGTTTATTTTATTTCGTGCAATTAAAGAAAGAACAGTTCTGAATTTAATTGATTTAATATCTTTATAAATAAGCAATTTATATGGTCAACAAATGTATCTGTTGCAGTATTTTGACCATAAACTTAGAATGATTTCATGCATGCCTAAAAGGGATAACTCAAATATTTGTTCTTTTTTCTTTTCCCTTTGTACAATGCAAACAGTAATCATTACAGCAACATGTGTGTATACAATTATTGAAACATAGCATCAGAGATGTCAATCGCACTCCTTCAACGAACAAAATACTTAAGAGATTAAATAAGACAGTAGAATTAGTTTCTAAAACTTATTTAGGCTCTTTCATTATAACCAGAAGACGAATTCCTTTCGTTAAAAGTCAGTTGAAATTGATTTTATTTGTAAATAGGTAAAATAAATAACGCTCATAAAAGCAAAAATAAAAGACAAACTTTTTAGCTCGTATTTATTAAGCAGGTTCATGGCACTGAAATAAAAAAACAATATCATTATATATAGTCATACATGTCGTGCCAATTAAACAGAAGGAAATTCAACTGCACAACAATATCTGATCACTTTGAAGAGTTTATTTTCGTGCGTAATTGCATCTTCAATTTTATCAACTTTGAATAAATGTACATACAATCACTAGTCTAATATGGTGATTATATGAAAGAGATAATTCACATTTTATCAGTAATTAATGTTGCTTCTTTTTCTCAATGGCTTTGTAAAAACAAATTTGTATTTGTACTAAATAACGCACAACCTTCAGTCATGCGGTTCCTAAAGCGAACAATGAACTATAAGAATAAAACTTTTTTTCGTTACACCTTTTTGTTACATGAGATTATCTTGCCATACTCTTATTTTTGCCATGCTCTGTTCGCATCTTGCTGCTATGCAAATTCCATATTTCTGTTGTTCTTTTTTCAGAAGTTTTATGTCGTAACAAACTCAGCTCTTGCATGATAAACATACTCCAAGCAGTTTAACATTAAAATTGATTCGACAAATATGTAGCCAAATATAGAAGAAAAAATAGCTTTTACGCTGCAAATAATTTCCTCTTAAAATTTATCATTGTCCACGATCCGTATTTTGACGTTGTATTTCCATCATCACGCATCCTCTGTGCGTTATTCATCTATTTTGTTTTGTACAGAAGTTCATTACTCAACGTTTATAGTGAACGGATATGTATTTCAATATAAAAATAATTTAAATAAAAATGAATGTTTTTACAGAACTGTAATAGAAAACAGATAAAGTTACGTGTATAAACGTCGCATACTCTTTATTATAATTTAATCTAAGTAAAAGGATTTATATCATTTACAACATTGCACACAAAATATAATAAAACAAGATGACCAAG